TGTACAGTCTGTTAAATTGTTAAATGATATTTTTGAATATTTTCTGTTTTGAATTGTTTTTACAAATTTTTACTTTTATTTACATTTTTTATTTTCTTTTATCTTATTTTCGTAATTTATTTTCAAAACAGAGGTTGTACATATTTTAAATGTGTACATATCAAAAAGAAGTGCTTTTAAAGCTTAAAGTTCCAAATATAAAATATATAGTTTTGTTGTTTATTATACTTTTCAGTTCATGAATTCGTTGGGCAACTGCTAATATAAAAAACTCTTTTTTCAAATTTATTTTTTACAGTAGAAAAAAAATTCATTGGTGAATTCTTCAAAGACTTTGTTTATTTTAGTTTTGTAGTTTATTGCAATTTTTCAGTTCATGGTCTATGTTGGGCAACTGCTAATATTGAAAACTCTTTTTTAAAATTAATTTTCTTAGTAGAAAAAAATTCATTGGTAAATTCTTTAATGTTTTTGTTTCTTAAAGCTCATATAAAATTAGTTTTTAGTGTAACTTTCTAAGCTATAGTCTTTTTCTAATCTTTAAGGGGTAAAGGTAAAATCTGGTTACCTGATTACCAGAAGTATAAAACATAAAGTATTTAGATTAAGTCTTTATTGGAAAGCTATGATAAAAATGACATTCAAAGATCATATTTTAGCTGGTCACTTCAATAAATTCAAGGAGTATATAGAAATATCTTTAGAAGCAATATAGAGAGGACTTCTACCGGGATTAAAAAATATGTATGTTTAACATATAGTAAATGTTACCTGACAAAATTTAATAGATTTTGTTTAAAATTGATATAGAGCTCAAGGCGTGATTATTTGGAAGTTAATATAGTGATTTAATAAAAACACACAAAAAAAAAACAAAGTTTAACAAAAGTAGTTTTTTAAATTTCTTTTTTCATATTTTCCAAATTTTTATTTTCTATTGTTTGGCGATGTAAAGATTTGTAAGGAAAATATTTGTTAACAATACATTATGTTGAATTGTTATTCTTTTAGATATTAATGAATGTGACAGTTTAACTGATATTTGCAACTCGACAAACACAGTTTGTGTAAACAGCATTGGAAGCTATTATTGTTATAACGGTAAATCTTTATATATTTTATTTTTTAAATCTATTTTCATATCTATTTTTTAAAATATTGATATGCTTACGCATAATCAAGCTTCGGCAGGAATGGCAGGCTATAGCCGGTGCCCGCATCTACACCTGTGCAAATCAGTTTATACGGGCAAAGTAAAGCCTGTGCAAAATATAAATTTTTGGTAAAAATAAAGTTAAATAATTTTATGTTTCTATTTAGTTATTCTTTTATAAATTTCTTAAATGATATGAATTTGTTTAACAACAATGCATATTAGTTCCATAATTCAAATATAAATATGAGATCCTGTTTATTATTCTAGTTAGAGTTGTTCAAGAGCTTGTATAAAATTTGTAAGATTTAGTTGACAGGATGCCCATATCGGTTCTGAATTGGTTTCTTATTATATTTTCTCTTATTTTTCCATACACAGAGATATATGAATATTTCCGGAATCATTTCTTTATATGGATATTTCCGATATATCCATATATCTCACAGAGATATATGGATATTTCCGGAATTAATTCTTTTTTTGGATATCCAAACAATTTTTTCAAAATTACAAGTTGAAATTTTTTTGTAACTTTGTCATCAAATAATCAAAACTGTAAAGAGTTCATTCATAAATGCATAATTTATGAACAATTCATTTATTACACATAATTAGTTGTATGTGCATACAACTAATTTTTTTATTTTCTTTATGTATATAATTAGAATTAATATTTATTGTTTATTTGCACTTTTTTAAACATAAGTTATTAATTATTATTTTGACTACTTCACCTAAAAATCTAGTGTAATTAGCTATATTATTTTTTAAACATAAATTAAGTTAATTTTTAAACCCTGTTTAAATAAGTACTGAAATAATAAAAATAAGTACTTTTCATTTAATTAAAAACATGCTCTTCCCAAACCTAAACCTCAGTCATGTATTTTCACTCTATTGTACCCATCTCTATTTAGGTCAGTCAATGTATATACTCTCTACTCCAACTGCGAAACCAACTTGTTAAAAAGCCTAATGCATTTTTTTTTCCTTTATCTAGGTTAAAGAAACAAAAATTTATTTTATCAAATTTAATTTAAGTTACTTTTTTATGTTTGTTTTACATTCAATTATTTTGTTTATTTATTTATAGCAAATGACTAATTTTTTTTCATCCTGTTATGCAAAAACTAATATACAAAAGTACTTGATGTTTATAACTGTATATAAATGCATTGTGGGTTAAACCATAATCAAGCTAAATTATTTATTGATCAGAAACAAGACACAAGTCGAGTAGAGAAGCTAAATGATTCAGGTTGTCTGGAAAGCGAGTTGGAAAGTTGACTATTTGAGTTAGGGATTGAGAAAGGCAAAAGTTGTAGTCTTTTATGCCTGCAGAGTCACTGACACTAGAGCCAAGCCATTCAGTGTGATGAACATTAAAGTCACCAACAACAACAATATTAGCTGATGGATAAAGAGAGAGGGCTTGGTCAATATGATCAGAAATATCATCAAGAAGAAGGTAGTCTTGATATGAAGGAGTGCGATATAGAACAAAGAGAAAGGTGATAGAGTAAAGTGGTGCTAAACAAAAGCACATAAAAGAGTAGTCTGTGGATTCAAACCTAGTTTCCTGACAAATGGGAGAATTCTTACGAATGTAAATGCCCAGGCCAAGCATGTGACTATTGGAGTCTTTGCGAATTAAAGGAAGATAACCATCAACACTATGATCACAAGATAAGACAGCTGAACTTAAATTAGTCTCACAAAGAGCAAGTAGGTATGGTGAACTTTGCAACAGATAAGAGTCAACAGAAGAAAAGTTACTTTGAAGACCACGAATATTAGTGAATAGGTTTAGCAAACTTGGTGATGACTGTGGTTTGTTATGTTTTATAGTTTTTGTTACTTTTTTCATTTTTAAATTTGTTAAAGAATTTGACTCGAAACATAGATAGTACTCAGTACACTGTTTAATAGCCCAAGCAATTGCCTCATTACTACTAATAAACCCGATGTGGCCTTGGCAAAGCACACCAAAAGTACAATTAGGGACACCATCCATGCGCAACATGGCACTGTTAGTACTTTGATATTTTACAGCTGTTGATGAAATCAGCTTCTCTGAAAGCTACCACATAGTTCAGGAAACCTGGCTACCAGCCGGCTACAGAACCATAAAACTGAGTTTTAGAGCTACCCTTATTAGGAGATAATAGAATGAGTTGCCTAGTCATAAAATCAGAGAGACAAGCACAACCCATGCATCGAGTCAAGAAGATCCAGCATTCAGCATCCTAAACTGGAAACATTGAATTAAAAATATATCTGCCCCAGCCTAATAGATGAAGAAGGGATGCGAGGCTGGTCAACAAATAGAATTTGTTTACCCCTTAAATCTTTGCCTAAGAGGCCTTCTACAAGACAGCAGCCGGATGCATTTAACTGCCCAAGATTAGTATTTTTATCAAGACACCATCTCTAGCCTTTACTTAACCAAGAGACCCAAGGCAGGGTGTGTTTTATGTTGGAGATGGCATCTCCTAGCCTTTGCCTAAAAAGGCATATCCTACAAGGCAGCAGGACATAAAGCAGATTGTACTGGGTTACATGTTACCAGTAGCAAGATAAACCATTAAATAAATAAATGTTGGGCAAGATAAACCATTAAATAAATAAATGACATTAAATAAATAGTAGTAAGTAGTGAAAGTAGTAAGCTCAGTATTTTATAATTTTAAAAAGTAGTTCTTTACTAATTTTTGAATAATATCTTGATTGTAGGTAACATCAAAAGGTAGAGCCTATTGAAGTCATCTTTGAATGAATATAATATTTGGACTAGCTGATGTCTACACTTTCAAATCTTACTAGCAATGACTCAAAAAAAAACTAAAAGCCTACAACAAGCAAACCAAAAAAGGGCACAATCAAATTCTTTCTGTAAAAGCATACATTCAGTGGTTCTCTTTTCTGAAAATATATACCATTGTAATTGTATGAACTTCATTTAGATATTTGATATAAAGTTAACTTAAATTACCTGTATTTGATGCAATTTATTACAACTTTCTGTAATTTATTGCAATTTTTTGACTTGCTCTTTTTTATATTACTTCTATAGTATTTGAAGGAAGAAATGAAGCATCAAAATCACGCTGAGTATTGTGGTGTATTGCAACCTTTACTACTTTGATATCTTTTGTTCTCATCAGGGCCACCAGCAACTGTCAAAACTAAAATTGGTTTAACCAAGTGATCAATACCACTTCTGGTAATGATTTCAAATTCGTTGTGTGTAAGCAATCTTTGAAAATCAAGTCCATACTTGAATGCTGTTGATTTTGAGTGTTTTTCTGATCTGATTTCTATATAGATTGGTCCGGAATATCCTACTGCTTCTCGGTTTCCTAGACCATTAGACCTTATTGAAATTCCAGCATACACTGATGGAATTAATTTGTGTTCTGCAGCCATAGCCCAATCATGGTCAGGTAAGCTGACTCTCTACTTAACGTGCATAAGTAATGGACTTATGTCTTAAGTTTTTTGGCAGCAGTCAACCCAATGGCACACGAACTTTGTCATATTGACTCAAAAAACATTCTTTATTCATTTCTTACATTGACGCTAAGGCAATCAGGCTTGTTTCTGACATTTAGTTCTGAGTTATCTTCAAACAAAAAAATGAATTTTCTTTTCTCTAGCTCTTTTGCTTTTTTTACTCTTCTCTGGTCAGCTCTTTTTTTATTCAACATCTGTTCTAAATTGTATTTTTTATTTTTCTTTTCTTTCAATTCAGCATCTTGTTCATATGAAAAGCATTTCACATTTTTGTTGCGTTGTTATAAAAACCGACTAAATCAGAACTCAGAATTTCATTCTGTGTCTGCAATTGCAGTTGGGTTGGGGCAGTTCTATATTTCTGAGCAGTTGAAGGTTTATTAGTAGAAAACGTTTGTTCAGCCCGAAATGTTAGGAGTGTTTCTTTTTTTGCTTGTGAAAAGAGTGTTTAGTTCTTGCAACCAATGATCCGCTTGGATTTGTAAATTCTATCAACTTTTATTTCATTCCACTTCTTAATCAGTTCTACTTGATTTTTTTTTGCTCCTTATTTTTACTTTTATAGTATAATTCTAATCTAATGAACCTAAAAAATGTTTTTTTTGATTGAGGCTGATCTGATAGAAAATATAATCCTGATATTTGACTATTGATGACTTTAGAGGCATAACTTTTAAATTTGAAAAAAAGTCAGTAGTTGCAGATTGTCTTTTATGAGCTAGTAAATTTATGTTAAAGACACAATATATATCTTTTAGAGCCTTTGTCAAATCTCCAAATTAGTTTGCTTTTTCTTAAATTAGTCTAGCCATCCTTGCGTGGCTAGATAATTTTTGAAGCTAACTCTATCACAAAATATAAAGCTTTTTATTTTACCAGCAAGCCACAATTTGGTACATTATCACCTCTCATTCGTTTGAACCATTAAAGTACAGTTTTGTTTACTTGGAAATATTATTCAAATTTCATCCGTTTAGTCAAATTTCCTTGACAAAAATTATCAAAGATCTTTATTCCTTTTTCCAGGTTGAAAGAGTGTACAAAGTTTTTGAAATCACTCTATTTGTTTTTCCTTTCTTCAATTCCATTAGATTTTTTTTAAATGAAATAATTTATATAAATAATTTATATAATTTATTTATATATATAAGTTCCCCTTTAAATTGTTGTCTTTATGTCTCTTTCTTGCCATAATCTTTTTTCTAAATCTCACAACATTTGAAATTTGAAAATAGATTTTGACGGTTTAATGAGCGTTTTACATGTCAGAAGTTAAAAAAGTTCGATTTACAGAGAGAATTTTATGGTCTTACCATAAAACATAGAAACAAGGGCAGAAATATTTTGCTGTTTTTAAACATTTTTACGTTGCCAATTAGGTCGGCATTGCTAAATACCGACCCTAATTTTGAGGGTCAAAAATATATATATA